TAACCGACACCTGAGCTATGAAAGGAACTTGATTTGTTGTTAACATAAGTTATAATCATGAATGCCTGACCACATTTACAAGTATTAGTATTATTCAAATAAGATAATTAATGTAATTATGTTAAGAATTTATAACCTAATTGGAACCTTCTTTATGTATGGTTTTCAAAATTGAAACCTTCTTTATGTATGGTTTTCAATTGAATAATAAGAGTTTATATTATACTTATAGGATATACCATTAATGGATCCTTTAACCTTGATAATTATTGTTATTATTGTTTAATTATTACGTTAATCTTCCATCTCAATGTTCTCATTAACTTCTTCTTGATTAATATTATTATGATTGTTGTTGTTGTTGTTGTTATTGTTGTTGTTGTGTTATTGTTAATTATAATTTATACAATTAATCTTCCTGTGGTTCGATCCCAGTCTTGCTAGGTTATTTATTACTTTGACACTCCTATACTTAGGAGAAGACATCAATCTTTTGGTCGTGTCAACTGATATGGATCCATTTGTATTTAAATCTAAAATAAATTAAATAGGCCCAAAAAAATGTTAAAACAATAAAAATATACTAGTTCAACTCTTATACCAAAGTTGCCACACATATAAGAATAAAATAACCTCAAATAAGAGAAATTCCCTAGCTTAAATAATTTTATAGCTAAAATCAAATCCTAGAAAGGCTAGGTTAACAATTTTTTTCCCTTAGAAATCCTATATAAGTTAGAAGAATCAAATCTAAAATTGTTGTCGTTATGTTTCCTTCTTTAGCTAAGAAAATTTAATTGTTGTTTTAAATAATTCTTCCAATGTAAGGAAAGTTGTTGCCCCTAGTAATCCTTTTTGTAGGACTAGAAAACTCTTTAAAATAAGTTGTTGAATATCCTTATATTATTAGGAAAATAAACATTTCCAAATAAGAAATCCATAAGTTAAAAAGCAACAAATAACAAAACATGTATTACACTTTCTAACCTATACTACAATGCCTTTTCTGAACTTTGATTGACATGAAATTTTAATTTAATATAAAAAAATATCTCTACAAACTTATAATCAGATTCTAGCCCTATTTAGTAGACAGAATGAGAGTTATGTTTGGTAAAGTAAAATTAGACAATAGAAAACAACATTACAATAAAATCTGAATTTAATTGTTCAATCCTTGCGTGGATAGTATAAGACTTACAATTAGTTTAGTTTTATGAGGTTACTATCTACATCCTTTTAAGATTAAGTTCCTAACTATAATTTCTCCTTATTTGAAAAGAAGAAACAAATAACAGATATCATAATTAATTAGGGAATTAATAATTAGTCAACTAATTAGTCAATAATGGTAACACAAATATTTGTTTGAATAACAACCCAATATATGACTTATATCTTCGAATTCACAAGGCAATACCCTCGAACAAGCTTATACCCCCCCCCCCCGAATCCACAAGTTCACTCCTTTAGACATGATTTTATAGATTTGAATCCATAATGACCGAACATTAAACATAGTTGATGTATATCAATCCAGTTGTTACAATCAAACGAGAGAGGGGATGATGCGATCAAAATTACATTAAATGATTTTTCAGAAGTTTTGCATGGACTAATTACAAAATTAAAGACAAAGAAGCTTAAAGATACATTCAATAAATTTATTCAAAATATCCGAGTTAAGGTGAATTTTAAAAAAGCCATACATTTAACAAGTGATGATAAAACCTTATTTAATTTAATTTATATACAAGAGGGTTTGATCTATCTACTCCATAGACTAATTAATATTAACAATTAAAGAATTATTTTTTCTAATACATACATAATTTTATGCTAATAAGCATATTTTTTTATTTGACTATTAGATCGAGCTAAAATTATACCAAAAAATCCTAAAAATTTTGTTTTGCATTGAGTTAAAATATCAAGTCAATCAAATATTTAGAAGGCCCTACGATAAGTGAGAACTAAATTAGTTTCTTAAGTTATTTAAGATTTTTTTTCTATTTTTTTTCTATTTTTTATATCTATTTTATTATTTTTCCAACATTGTTTTGGATATTTTTTTTTATTATAAATAAAATTATTTAGCTTGTATTTATTTCTTTTTAAGAATATTTTTTGTTCCAATAATTATTATTGTATGGATGAGATTTTGCTCATTTTTTTAGTTTTTTATTGAATTACTCTTATTTATCAAAAAATTAATATAATTTATAAAACACTTAATCAAATTTCATGGATATTTTATACTATTTACTTACGTATGTTTATAGATATTGAGTGATAATTTTTTTGATTATTTATAATTTTAATCTTTTAGTATAAATTATTATTATGTCAAACTTAAAAGTTTAAATTTAGTTTTTTTAAGAAGTAATTAATTGTTAATTTTTAAATATTTATATTTATGAGATTCATATTAAATATTATCCAATATATATTATATTATATTATATTTTAATTTATTAATTATATTTTATTAGAAAACATATTGATAATGTCTGGACACCTTTTTTATATTGAAAAAAATTATTTGACTCGTAATGCAGGACTGATTAATGATCTAGTTTGGACCTAAAGTGGATGTGGATCGAAATGAAACCCGGATTTGAATCCAGACCCGAAATCTCCTTCCTTAAAGCAAAACAAGCAAGTAAATCCAAGAATGAAACCCTTAAAATTCACGAAGCTGAGAGGTGTCCTTCTGCTCAAGCAAACTCGAACATAAAAGAAAAAATTGAAAAAGTATACACCATCAGAAACCCATCAACCATGTTGACAGGTATTTTGTTCAAAAAACCCATCATTGCAAAGCTTCGATTTTTTTATTTTTTTAAAATTTTTCGGAGGGTTTATTTTTGAATTTTATGAAGTGGGTTATCGCTGAATATCGGGTTTTGTTGATGAAAGATTTGTAAAACTTAGTGTCATTTATTATCTGGGTCGTTTTGTTATTGTGTTCTAATTATGACTGTATTAGTCTTATGATATTTGAGTAGAGAGAAACAAAGAACATCAAAGATAGCTATAAATTGATTAAAGCAATCAAGTAATTTTTTTTTTGCTAAGTTATGACAATCTTGAAACTCTTTTTAATAATAGATTATTTTCTGGGTTACATTGGTAATAAGTGATTAGGGTTTGTTGTGGAAAGGTGCCAGAAAACTGGCTGCAGGATTGTTGAAAAATTTTGAGGTTCAAACTAGAAGAAGCTTATAGAAATTTTGGATTTTTAAACAAAAGAAAATGCAAGAGAAGGAAGGACCCACTCAGCAAACTTCAAGTAGCTTGAGATTGAGACTTAGCAAACATTCAATTCATTTGGGGTTCCTGGTTTTGAATGTTATTATGGTTACAATGTGCACTCTGTTTTCCTGTGTCTTTTAATTCATCTTTAGAATGTCTCAAGTTCAGTGCAAAATCTGAGCTGTACCTTTTCAGCTATCATTTTCATTTGTTTTTCAATGAATTGGCTCAGTGAGTGTAAAATGGCTAAAGGAGGTGTTTCCAAAAGTGGAAATTGACACAAGCCAGCCCCCTTACGTTTTCAAATGCCAGCTGTATGATTTGACTGGAGTGCCCCCCGAGAGGCAGAAGATCATGGTTAAGGGTGGTTTGTTGAAGGTAAATAGATGTTCTTCTAAATGTACCAGAATATGTTAATTAATTGCTTTCTTTGGTCTATGTGGTTCATGACATTTTAATGGTCACTTTGTGGTCTACGTGATTCCTGGCATTTTAATGGTCACATTGTAGGTGTTATTAGGAATCTGTTGTCTTTTGATAAACTTGAACAGTGCCTGCTTTAACTTCATTGATTAACAATGCAGGATGATGCTGATTGGGCAACGTTAGGAGTGAAGGAGGTAAGATTCTTTATGACTATTTCGCAACTACACAACTCTTATTCTTGTGTAACATGATGTAAATAATGGTGTATCTACTTAAACATTTTTCTAGGGACAAAAAATGATGATGATGGGCACCGCTGATGAGATTGTGAAGGCCCCAGAGAAAGGCCCTATTTTTATGGAAGATCTTCCAGAAGAAGAACAAGTGGTTGCTCTGGTATTTTTCTTCAACCCTCTTCTCCACATGACTTGTGAATTCATGGCATGCCACTTCACATACAACCTGCTAATTGATGTAGAAAATTGACATATCATAATTTATATACTGCTGACAAATGAAAATTATTAACTTTCACCTTTTAAGGCATTAATAATTTTTCTTTTTTGTTTGTTTCTTTTATTATTTTTGGATAACTTAAGGGAGGTTGATGAAACAGCTTCCAAATGATTAGGTTCTGAAGCTAATATGAGCCTTTCATACAAGTGGTTGATTATAGAGATACTTACTGCACACACTAATTAAGCACAGATGCTCATTCTTTTCTCTAATTGTTTCTACCTTCTCCTTTGTTCTCTCCTTTATTCTGTTGTATCAAACAAGCTCCTGGATTGTAGGATCCACTGAAATGTGACATGGACCTGTCTGCGTTTCCTTTTAAAGCTCTTCTTAATAGTAATTATTTATTGGACATGAAGAACTTGCTTATTATAATATTCTTACCGGCCTATCCATCCTAAAATTCAATCTGTTGTTGTTTCTTTCTTTGAGACTTGTGATAATTCCAAGCAAGCAGATAATTGCTGCACGAGCTGAGCCTTGACTGATAAATGACTAATTAAGCCATGCTTTCATGGTCCAAGAAAAGCAATGGTTTACTGTTTGCACCTTTGGCTAGGCTTGGCCTAGTTGAATGCTTCATCTCCATTCCCAAGCCGTTATTTATCAGTGTGGCTTCATACTAATCATATGTTGTGCTTTTGATTTGCTACCAAACTGTGTAAGTTGCAGTGTTGCTCACCAAAGAACTGGGAAAAGTGAAAGTGAAGAGGATGGCAATGCAGAAAAGATCTTCTATCTGCTCTGAAATAATATCAACAAAAAGAAAAGGAAAAAAGAGAGGAGAGATTAATAACCAGAATAGGGCTCATATCTTATTTGGAATATGCCTGTAAATTCATTCATCAATGGCACATGCACACTGATTATCCTTATAGGAAGGCTATGGCTCTTATTGTGATTAGCATGTCCATTTTCATTGCCTCTGTGTTTTGCAAGGTCCATTTTCATCCAATGGATAAAGCATAGAATTTATGACCCTTGTTTATGCATCCTGTACATGATTGACTTTCAGTTTGAATGCCATTGTCCTGGTTGAAGGCAAAAGTGAAACACTGGATCATGCAATGACCAGTGAATATCTAGTACTGTATATTTATTTTCTTTCTTCCTTCATTTTTATGTCACCAGATATTTCTCATCGATTCTTTTTTGCTGTGCATGTTTTTCCTATTTGTGACCTTATCTCTTTGAAGTTGTGCAGTTTAAAAGTAGTGCTTTCCATTTCATGGACTTCAAGTTTATTGTGAAAAACTTTGTTTTTATTTTAATGATATTTTCTCACATAATATTCTTGTTTCACTCTAATGCTAGTATTTTGCTAAATTTGTTTCTGCTGATAGGGCCACACAGCTGGCCTTTTTAATCTAGGGAACACTTGCTACATGAACTCGACAGTACAATGCTTGCATTCTGTTCCAGAGTTGAAGTCTGCTTTATCCAAGTGAATTCTCTTACTTTTTGAATGTCTCAGAAACTAGTTTCAAGTTGCAGATCAGAAGTGCACATTTTTTTTCCACTGAAATACTGTTATCAATGTGAAATTTGGTCAGCTATCCATCTCAAAAAAGCAGTGATCTGGATCAGACATCTCATATGCTGACAGCTGCAACTCGAGAACTATTTAATGAGCTCGATAAAAGTGTCAAGCCTGTGGCACCTATGCAGTTCTGGATGGTTTGTGCTCTGCTCCTGCCTTATTTGCAGTATTTTTTGATGTGTGCTATTTGGGAATCTTTTAGCAATATGAACGGGATAAACTCCTACTAATAAATGTTGGATGCTCCTTTTTAAACATATTATCATGTAACAAGCTCACATATTTGAAGTCTTACTAGTTTGAGCTGAAGAAATGTATTCTAGATACTAGCATGTTGTAGCAGCAAAGAACACTGATTCATGGATTTTAATGTTGATCTTATTGATTAGGACTTTCACATTAGCCATTCCATGCTTAATGTCGTGCAAAAATCTTCCTCTTTGGTGAATTCTGTAAAATGCTTTTACACAGTATTGGCATGCTCAAGTTTAGTTCCTAATGGCATACAAAACTATTTATCTGTAATGTCGCAAACTCTTACACATTTAGTTCCTAACAAGTTGTCATGTATGTGAAGTTTTACTAATTTGTGCTGAAGAAATGTATTCTGGATACTGGCATGTTGTAGAGGCAAAGAACACTGATTTATGGATGTTAATGTTGATCTTATTGATTAGGACTTTCACATTAGCCATTCCATGCTTAATGTTGTGCAAAAATCTTCCTCTTTGGTGAATTCTGTAAAATTTTTTTACACAGTATTGACATTCCTAGGTTTAGTTCCTAATGGCATACAAAACCATTTGCCTGTAATGTTGCAAATTCTTACACGTTATTGTCATAATTAGGTTTTCAGTTTTGCAGTCTGTCAATTGATTTTTACCTCAATAAGCCTATATTTGAATTTTGGCATACCATGAATTTACAGTAGTTGCTGTATTGCACTTTGATTGTTTGGAAATAGGGGGAAAAGGAATACCACATTTTTACTCTTCCCATTTACTTTTGCAGGTATTGCGCAAAAAGTATCCACAATTTGGCCAGTTGCATAATGGAGTCTACATGCAGCAGGTTTTTCAAAAAAATCAATATGCTTGTCATAGCAGTTGTATTAATATAATTTGTTGTAATATTGGTCTATGCATTTTGAGATATACAGGATGCTGAAGAATGTTGGACACAGCTTTTATACACCCTCTCACAGTCACTTAGATCACCGAGTCCCAGGTAGTTTGGTTTGTGTTTATGCACATTTATTGGTTGATTCAGCTTCATAGACCATAGAAGCATGCATTGCTACATAATTGATGTCCTCAAAACTTTTACTCCATTGCAGTTTGGAATATGGCTAGAACTTTCATTGGAGATTGTTTTTGCTCAAGTATAATGTCTTATGTAGAACTTTTTGGCTTAGATATTGTTGCATTATTCAGAATGCTAGCTTCCTGCCACTGATATTCAACTTATTGATTTAATCTTCTAACTTGGCAGTCAAAATCCAGATACAATTAAGGAACTTTTTGGCATTGAACTTGTAAGCAGGTGGCTATCTTCAACTTTTTTTTCCTCAGCAGTTGGATTATAGCTAATGTTACATGAAGCAAAAGAATTAGTATTAGAATTTCTAATCTTCTATTTACTGTTGGATTGCTGTTGATGTTTTTTAAATGATTATGAGTGTTTCCATTTTGCCAAGGACAACTACCTTTGATAAATTCTGTATATAATATTGGGTTGCTAGGGTACATTGCCAAGAAAGTGGTGAAGAAAGCTCAGAGACAGAATCAGTTTACTCACTGAAGTGCCACATATCTCAAGAGGTGAACCATTTGCATGAAGGGCTGAAGCATGTAAGATTTGCTAATTATTCTTTTATCAGGATTCCGTTCTTTTCCTTTTACTTGATTTTAGTGTGTTGAATGACTTATGCATTCCTTTGCAGTAGTCTGGTTTGTGCTTGCACTTGACTAGATCTTGATAATCATTTGTCTCTTATGGATGCTTTTGCACAATGAATTTGATTCCACTTCTTTGTATCTCAATTGAACAGACCCAAATGCAAGTGTAGAGCCATCCCCCAAAACTTTAAGCAACTCGTTTTACCCTTGACCATATGTACCCAGAAAAAGAAAAAAGAAATTCAACAATTGAAAGATCCGAGTTAAATACAATATTTCATCCTATTTAAAATTGAATCAATCGTAGAAGCCAAATGCATCTGCTCATAATGGCATGAAAACTTATAATTGAATATTACTATTCTTCAAAATTATTTTTCAAAGATAAAATAATCCTGTCTTTGGAATAAGAACACTTATATATAGTCTTGCAAAATGAGCAGCAAAAACAAGCTTGAAATGTTAAATTATTGATATCTTAATCCTGTAATTCAAGCAAAATTTCTTGCTTCATCCTTGCTACTTTACCAACTATAACATTACTTTGTTGGGAACTGTTATAACATTAAACGGTAATTGTCCATGTGTTGGAGGGTATGATTATAGAAGATTCTAGTTATTGATAAATATCAACAGTACCTTCTCAAGTTTAGGCCATTGCCTTTTCAGTTCTCTCTTGCATAATTTCTGCATGCCAATCTTCCGGTTCCTAACTAAGGTTTGTCTTCCATGGATTTATAACATTTTAGTTCCAGTCTCCCACCATGGCAAATATAATACAACAACGACCAAGCCTCAATCCGGAACTAGTTGGGCAGGCTATCTGGTTTTTCCTGTGCCATCCTGCATGATCACACACCAAAGTGGCCTCAAAAGCTTCATAGCCAGTGTTTGTGCTTGCATTTGTAGTTGTATAACCTTATTGTCGAGGATTTTTTCATGATTATGATGGCTGGCTTATCATCTGAAAGTAAAAATAATTGGATTTTAGTTGACAAGGCAACCATTTGGAAGCACTAGGTTCTTGATAATAGAGATCTTTGTAAATTCTAAAATAATTGGTAGAACTCTTATAATGGCCGTCTAACAATTCTTACAATGGACTTTTATTTAGATGCTTAAATAAAAATAAATGGAAATGCTTTTTATCAACCAGTGGCTAATGATTCCAAAGCTAGTAGCGAACCTATAAATGCAGCTAATCTAGCTGATTTCTCTGGTTCTTTTCATAAAACTCGCTTTCTGTTCTGAGCCAATTTCACCACTTGGTCCGTTGTATTTTATGGCATCACTAGATTCACTACCTATCACTTTCTTCTCTGCAATGTATAAATAATTTGTGTGTTTCATTGTGTGTGCATTTGTTTTTGCGTGTGCATGGTTCGAAATTACTTGAAAATTATGTTATCATTAATCTTACTGTTTATAGGGTTTGAAGTCTGAATTGGAGAAGGCTTCTCCTTCCTTGGGCCGTAGTGCAATTTACCTGAAAGAGTCCTGTATTAATGCCTTGCCGAGGTAGCAACATTCCTGGCTTTCTCTAAATTCTTGTTTCCCTTTTTATTACTTTTGAATTTACAAGTTGCAACCATTTGAATCTCAATCACAGGATCCAAGTAATATGGGGATCTTCCTACTCATTGCTTGACTTTTGTGAGGATTTGAGATGTTAATTTACTATTTTTCTGCATCAGTGTGGATCCCTTTTTTTTTTTTTTTGTTTTCCCTGCTAATACTTTATATTTTCAGTTTTAAAAACTTCCACTTAAAAGAATGAATTTCTGACTTCACATATTTGATTTCTAGGTACCTAACTGTTCAGTTTGTTCGTTTTTTCTGGAAGAGGGAATCAAATCAAAAGGCTAAGATTTTACGGGTAATAGTGGTTTCTTTTCTTCTTTCTGTTACCCATGAGAAGTGACTTAAAAAGTTCTGTTCTGTTTGTGTGGTTGTTCAAAAGCTTGTTTAATTTAAGGGATTGAATGCTCTGTTTGCCCAAAAAAATAGTAAAAGCTGTAGGTTTTAATATTCGTGTTGATATATCCTTTTTAAAATAACTGTCTTTCTTAGAAAGTGGATTACCCATTGGAACTGGATGTATACGATTTTTGCTCAGATGATCTTCGCAAAAAATTAGAAGCACCTCGCCAGGTATATTTTAGCCTTTTGTTTTGGTGGAGTTCAGAAAATATCTAAGGGTGCATAAGTTTAGGTGATGGTTCGTTATGACTGTTCTTAACATCCCATAATACAGATTTTAAGAGATGAGGAGGGTAAAAAGGCTGGTTTGAAAGCCACAGTGAAGAGCTCTAGCTCAAAGGACAATGATGCCAAGATGACTGATGTGGAGGTTAGTAGATGCTTGAGATTTGAATGCATATATGAATAGATAAGCCCAATGAATATGCTTGGTATATCTTACCCTTTTTTTCCCCCTGTTTAGGGACCATCAAATGAGAGTGTAAAAACATCAAATTCTACCTCTGGAGAAGGTAAAATCTTCTAAATTTCTCCTGCTCATGATTGAAGCTTCTCTTTTTGGTATTTTAATTTTTTATATTGAGGGTCTCCTGTAGATGCTTTGTGTTTGACTTCCAATGGACTGTTCTTGCAGTTCAAATTGATAATGTGTGTTACTGTTGTCTCTGGGTGTGCTTCCTGGATTTTGTGGAAGACTTTGGGCCCAGTGATGGCTTATTGTGCATATAAGAGGATATAGCAGCCTTCATTGTATTTGATTTTTCAAAGTTAATTCTACCAGTACTGCATGTTTTTTTGGAGACGCTAAATATACAGGAAACTGATTATATTCATTAAATTAAGGTGTAAATGACTGATTTTTATTTTGCTACTTTCCTCTCCCAAAGTTGTCTTCCCTGGGGAATGCACACAGTTTCATGTTCTAATACTTGAGGTTGCACTGCTGGTGCCTCCATGAAAGTTCATGCTCTAATGTTCTTGCTTTCTGCCCCAGGTGGTTCTTCAGACAAAGAATCACATTTAACTGGAATATATGATTTGGTTGCTGTGCTTACCCACAAGGGAAGGAGTGCTGATTCAGGGCATTATGTTGCATGGGTCAAGCAAGAAAGTGGTAAGTTCTCTGTCAAGTTTGTCAGTGTATTTGGATCAACCCCAATTTTTCAATTGATGTGTACTAAATTTTCATCCCAGGGAAATGGATTGAGTATGATGATGATAATCCTATTCCACAACGAGAGGAAGATATAACTAAGCTCTCTGGAGGAGGTAAGCTAGCCTGAATGAAATGATGATCTTATGTGGTGGAAAAAATTGCTATACTTATTCTTGCTTATTTTCCTTGTGACATTCCTGTTAGCAACTGCCATTCTATTCATCAAGAAAAAAACTGTTTATTATTTCCTTTACTAAGTATTTCTATCCTTTGATCTTTAGGTGATTGGCATATGGCATACATTTGTATGTACAAGGCACGAGCTTTCCCAGTGTAATTTTTGTAATCCCATCATCTTTATATTCAACAAGTCACCACAGGATTTATTTGTAGATCCAGATTGTGAATTGGACAACAGAGTTTTACAGAATTGGATTTGTTGTACTTTAGAAGTTGTCTTAAGCATGTGTTATGACCACCTGCAATAATTAATTGGCTGTGAATTTTCTTACAATGAGTTTCTTTTCAGTTTAATCTCATGTCAGTTCCTGGTGACTTATGGAATGAAAATAGAATTTTTATTGTTTGGCAATGTCTATGATTTCAAACCTGTAGTTGTCGAGAACCCCATTTCTCTGGTTAGCACGGCTATGTCAAACTTTGAAAGGCTTCATGTATTGAAAAATGGTTGTCTAGGTTGGGACAGACAACCTTGTTGAAGGATGTTGGTTATGAGTGTTTTTAATGGAGTCTCTGGTTTTGACATCATAAGAAACAATGGTCTCAGCAAGGTTGTAAATATAATTTTGTTTTGGTTAAAATGGTCCGTATATCTTGTACTATTTTAAGAAATAAAATAAAGTGAAACAATTTGTATTTCATTCTAGATTGCATCGCCTTGGACTTTTACCCAAATTTTTGTTGCGATATTCTGGGTTTATTTCATTCATTTCGTCCCGAAACCAGCTTTAAAGCAGGAAGTCACTCATCTCAGACTCAGTTGCTCAGCAAAGCATCTCTACTGCATCGCACCTGCACAGCACACAATCAGTCTATACCAAAGGTGGCATAGGAGGGTTCTAGGTGTGCACCATTCAAGCATGAACAACATCTGAATTTCAATGACAGACAATAAAAGCCACACAAAAAGATCAATTTCCAGGTAAAATTAAGCCAAACACGTAATTACTCAAATGGCAACAAGGGATTTTAGCAACTCAACTTCCAAATACAAAATTAACTAAATTGAAACGAATGTGCATCATTCTCCCTAGTTATATCAAGAAGCAATCCTGGACACTAGCTGCTTTATATTGCGAATGGTTTCCCAGTTCCGGTGCTCACCCGCCAAAACCAGAAAAAAGGCAAAAAATGTTTGTCTGCACAGGATCGCTCCTCAATTTCTGTGTAAGAACCAAGTATAATAGAGTTCCACCATTATAAGAAGTTTCCCACGAGCATGAGAAAACAAGAATCCTGATAACGCTGGTTGCACCGTTATATTTGAAATCTCAGAGCAATTTCCATCAAGCAGATTGCCTTGCAAAGACCAAAATATTCCACAAGTCTGCAAACCATATCAACATTTTGTCAAACTACATTCACAAAAGTGACCACATAAAACAACCGTGTAATTCACACAAGCCATGGAAGGAATTGCTACTGAATCACATGATTGTTAGTCCTACATAACACCACAAGATCTACATTCTTATTTCTATATTAATGGTGAAGATGGTGTTTAATCTATTTTTCTTTTGTATTAAAACTTTTTACTTTTTTAATATATTGACATTTTGTTCGTGTTGAATTACTTTTTAATCTTGACTCTTGACTATTTAGGACTGTATTAAATTTTAAAATTATATTTAAATACTTGACATTGTATTTGTAAGTTTGGACTTTGACCTGTTTCTTAGATTATATTCAAAATGAGTTTAAAGGTCTCAACTCACAATGTTAGGATAATATCTTAGCACATGAAAAATTACAAACAAAAACTAGCACATATTGATAAAAACAAAAGGATAAAAATTATATAGTATATTTTTGTTTTCAAGGAAATAAATGTTGTTACCATGAGAGTTACCCTGTTAGTAAAATAATGGTTTATTATATAATAGAAAAGTGAGTCAAAGGAAACCTTTCAACTCATAAAGCATATTCACATTTCAAAAAACAATATATAAATATAACTTTAAAAACATGTTGATTTTTCAACTTTCAAAGAATAAGACCTCTGTATGAATCATGCTACCTTCAGGTTAAACATAAATCATACAAAATAAATTGAAAACTTTTTTTTACTATAAAAAACACCAAGTTTCAACATTCAATTGACAATAATTGATTAGTGATCATGTTGCTAATAGGTCGACGATTTGATGATAAAACCCAACAACACAAGTATTTGTATATAGGTTTACAAAAAATACTCCTACCACATATTTTAAAAAATAATTGGAAACCAAAAAATAACAACCTTCACACTTGAAATGCATCCACATTAGAAAATTTAAATCAATAAATAAAAAATTATTAACGCATGATAATTTTTTTTAAAAATCTTCATACATGATCATCAACATATGAAAATCAAATATCTGCATAATAGTTCATTAGCATATTATGCACACACAATAGAAACATATGAAAACCAATTATTGACACACTAGTTCACATTATATTTATACAAAGCTAAAAATTAAAAATTCATTTTGTATCCAAGAATAACCTTTTGGAGCTTTCAAAATCAACCAAAATAGGTTGGATCAAGGTGAAACAGTATCAACATATATGATTCACGCACTAGTCGATTGGCAATGAGGTTGGTGGTGGCAAGTGCTCTTCACATGCTATTGTTAGGACTTACAAAGACAATAGAAAAACAATTGTTTTTTTTTTGTGGAAATAGAAATTGTGATCATTGAATTATTATGGGTTATGATTTCAAGTGTTTCTATCATGATTCAGGTGATTCTGATTATTAAAATTAGGTTAAGAGGCTAGTTTTTCTAGGTAAAATATAAATTATTACGGTTTGAGAAGAGATTGAGTGTATGTGGTGAGAAAAAATAGTGTGTGTGTGTATGTGTATATATGTATGACAGAGCAGGGGCTATGCTAAGAGGAAGATTGATGCGAACCTAGAGGATAAGAATTTTAGAACCCAAAAACAACATAGAAACAACCCAAGAAATTTAAACTCAGATCAATAAAAATCAAACCCAATGATTACATGAACTAAGAAACCTAAGTTACTAGATGAAAGATCCTAACTCTTTAATTATAATGAATAAAAAACTACAAATAGCGAGCTAGTAGCTCAACTAACAATAGTAAAAAAATGTCTATTGTTCAAAGATTAAGGTAACTTAACACCCAAGAGAGAGATGAATTAGGCATATCACTAAATTCAACAATTAATGCAAATCATATCAAGCAAAATACAATAACCAACAATATAATTAAAGTATTTAAAGTAAAGAGATAAGGGAAGATAACTTAATTCCATGCCATCCTTTTTATTTTAAGTCCTAATTATACTATTTTCACAATCAACTAGCTTAACATTAACTTGTCATGCATGTTTTTAACTTGTAAATCAACTAGCTTAACAAAAAATTAATTAACTTGTCATGCATGTTTTTAACTTGTATATTTAAACATTACATTTCTCATATTAATTAAATCTCATCTTTTTCTTATTTACTATCATACATACAAAACACCAACACATCACCATTCAACCACATAACCAAAATCACTTTCCTTTTTTATTTTTCCTTTTAATTTACTAAACCAATTATTTAACTAATTTTAACAAAAACTCATAATTTAATTATAATTCCACCAAGTTATTTTTTGAACATATGACTTTTAATATCCAAGACAAAAACAACAATTCAACTCAACAATTTCACTTAATATTTATAAAATCTTAAACTTCCACATGAAAATCATATGCTCAACCAATAAGTCTATTTCAATTTTTCTAATCATAACAATAAATCTTTCAGAAACCAGTGACATAACATCTTGTACACATACTTAATTTTCATAACAACACCACAACATCTATAATTTATATATTGGAAAATTACATTTAACATCCTGTGATTTTTTATGAATTGCACTTTTCCTTTATAATTCAAAACAATACTCTTTGTCTCGAGGTCAATGTAGAATTCTAAATTTGGTGAAATATTTGTTTTACCCTCATATAAATTATTACTTAAAACCTATAAACTAAAAAGCAGATAACATATATTTCTCTCTTGTTTCTTGGATTATTCACCTTCCTTTTTTATCAGATCCAAACCATTATTTCACCTAATCAAGATTTCTTAAGATCTAACGATTGTAAGAGAAAGGGGGTTATCTTAGCTTAAGGAGGGAGAAAATTGTGGTTAGTGGCTATTAGATCAAGTCATTATTGGTGGCTAGGTTGTCATTGTTGTCATGGTGGTTGAGGTTGATTGGCGTACAAGTTAAACCTTGTTAGTGGTGGTTGGCGACGAGGAAAGGTAATTTTTCGCTGCTTTTGGTGTTACAGTGGTGGTGGATAGGGAGGAGAGCAACATGGTTAAGAGGAAGGATTTGTTTGATTTCTATTGGGGAGGGGGGGGGGTTGGGGCTGTTAGTAAATTCCTTTTATTACATTTTATGTGTTTTATCTTATCATAGAAGGTTTTTTTAGAATAAATTTTGTTATACAATTTAGTTTTTTTTTAGGTTTAATATGTTGTAGTTGAGAAAAAATACAGTGTTTTGATTTTTTTTAACTTCTCCTTTTATTGCTTCCTTTATTGTTTGCAATGGTTTGTATTGGAATTATCTTTAGTGTAAAAGGTTGTCTTATGTGGATATATTTCCCTTATTTGCTACTAGAAAGTTTCTTATTATGATTTTTCTAATGTTTGCATTCAACATGAAAGTCACTATCTCTGATGTTTTTACTAGAAATTAGCCTTGTTTGGTTTCATTTCTTTTATACAATCCTTATAATTTTAGTTATCATACAACTAGCAATTTTATGGTTAATTGTTGTACATTTTGACTATTTTGCTTCTTTTTTTTGTTGCATGTTATTTTTTTCATGAGAGAAAATGTTATTTCAATTATAAAATAAAGACTTGATGTGAATCCATGTCTACAAAAGGCTTGAAAAATTATCCTCGACATGCTACTGTAGCTAAGCTCTAGATGTAGAAAATACAGTAAAAAGAGCAATTAACAAGAGTTCTAGGTCTGTTAATTGATACAAACACCCTCAATAAGATGATGGCATTACATCCTGGAATAAAGAACCATGCCAATAACAACAATCGAAGGGTTGGTCAATGTGTTTTAAGTGGTTAGATGTAGGTTGTTTTGTCATCAACAAGCTATCAAATTTTGCTTAAGAGATAGAAATTGATAAATTTTCTTGGAAAAATATCTCTCATTTTACAAAGATAATATGTTGATTAGTTTTGTTGCAACCACATATAGGTGCTGCTAAAGACTGGTACCAATGCTATAAGTGTTGCTGAAACAAGAATAAAATGGGTTAGTGCGTTTTGGTGTGTTTATTGTGATACAGATAATCCC